CAGCAGGAAGCACATTGTACTTGTGTTAAAACATCTTCAACTCAAAGGAATTCCCTAGGACTGCCCGCTTAATGTATCAGCGTCATTTAACTTTGTGACTGTGGCTCTGACTTAAACCCCACAGCTTGTCACTCTGGTCTACATTTGATTAATTCCTACTTTTAGGATGCTGTAACACTGAAGAAGTCAAATACTCATGTGCCATCGACTAGAATGCAAAGCATGTCAAGGGCCTGCAATAGTTCAGCCAGGGAAGCCCTTGGGAGTGTTCATTTGGAAGAAACGCAAAGCATGTCGAGGGCCTGCAATAGTTCAGCCAGGAAGCCCTTGGGAGTGTTCATTTGGAAGAAAAACTTATGTACTATTTGCCGTCTCTCGTCCATCCAGCACGGGCAATGTACTCCACAGTCGGAAACAACGCAGCGAACGGTTGCACCAGCTCCTTGTCCTGAGCACACACGATCTGCAGCAGAAGGAAGGTCCAATATCAAATCAGATTGCTACCAGACCTCCTCATCTCCTCATGCAAGCTCAGTGGAATGAGAGAATAAGGAATTTTAACTATTGGCATCAGCAAGGGCCAGCTCAGGAGAAGCAAGCCTTTCTACAAATGGCAGGAAGAGAAGGGAAAAACAGGCTTCAAAGCAAAATGATTTTGGCATCCACCCATGGCAAAGGATACAGCCAGGGACTGAAGCCCAGAATTAGATCAGGCTTCAACCCTCCTGCTCTACTAGTGACAATGTGGCATACCAGGCTAACCCCACTTGTCGCTTCCCTCCCCTCTCCCAGCTGCCTCTCCACCAGAACAATACTTTTCAGTGTTTTAAAGCTTTTCTGTTTCTTGGATAAACATGTTATAGAACCAGGTGTTAACAAGACAATTAAAACAAAGGCTAACGCTATCTAGGATTTCTTAGGGACCTTGTCTTAATTCTAGGGAGCTTCAGAAGCTGTCAACCCTCCTGTGCCATATCCCGTTCTGAGTTGTTACCACTTACCTTCCCCTTGCTGTCTGTTTTAAATTCTGCCAGTTTCAATGTAATCTTGGGGTTTTTGCTGCCTGTAGAGAATGAGAGAAAGAATACCAAGATGACCAACTTGAACACCCCATGGTTATACACAATACAGCTTCTATAGAAGAACTGACCCCGGTCCTACTAGAATGGTTATGTGTGGATGTACAAATATCAAATTAGGTATGTGAGCAGACACCACAGTAATCACAAGAGTCATTCTGGGTATGGGAAAAGTTTGCTTTTGCCTTGCCTAGCTGGCTGCGCATATTCTCAGGAGGAAGAAGAAAGAAGGGATTCAAAAATGTATTCCACAGTATGCCACCAGATACATATTCCATTTTCTCAGCAATCCTTTCATTCAAGCTGAACTTTAAATCCCATTCCTTTCTTGCAGTAGATATTGGGCTCAGAGACTCAATTAGGCCTCAACATTTACAACCAGCTTCTACATCCTAGTAAGTACTAGTACTAGTGATTAATCATGCAAAGTTTATAGCACAAATTCCACCGCTTCTGCCAGCAGGAGTCGAGTTGCATTAGCAGCCCCGTGGTATTTCACTTACCTGTCCTGGGGTACCGATAGGAGTCTGTTTTTCTCTCCTCCAAGGCAGGTGAAGGAACATGAATGATCTCCACCTCTGACTCATCCACTTCCTCATACAAGATCCGCAGTGTTTTTAAATCCTCTGAACCTAGGAACACACAGTAGGTACATTTGCCTCAGTGTTTTCCAGCTGAAGCACTGCGGCAGTACACTCTGGTGCAACAGAGCGTACGTCTCCTGTACAGCCGCAGCTCCTAGTGACCACCTGCAGATACTCCTCAGAGCACAATTACATCCCTTCAGTCTTTTGTTCCTTTAGGTCACCTCCCCAGAAACAGATCAAAGCCAAGTCAAAGGAAAATCTTGGCCAAAATATCACTCACAGCAGGGGCTGGCAGCAGTTAGTGTCGGAATTTGATAAGCAGAACACTGACTGACCTTCTGTGGAAGCTGTGGGACACCACCAATAGCCCGTGAACCGATCAAACTCCTCCTGAATGACAAAAGTAGCTACACCAGCAGACTTGGGGTCATCAAGAACATTAGATAAGCCTGGAGAGGAACACAGAAGAGACTGTATTTACATGTCCTTGGACAAAGGTGATCCAAAAGAATACATTTGTAAAACATAAGCCATGAAGACATCAGCCCTTCCAGCCAGAATTTGTCAGAACGAATTTCCTTTTGAACCTGGCAAGAAGCACCAGTTACCTTTATGGCAGTATGTCATCCGCTTCTCTTCTCCCGTCTCGATATTTGCTACCCACAGATCATTGTTATTAATGAATGAAAAGAAGGCAGGGTCTGCAGGGCAGATCTTGGGATCCATTCGTGGCCCTGTGCACTGAGTCTTGATCTCCAGAGGCTTCATTGGAGACACCTACAGCAAGAGACACACAAACAGCTCTGAACCAAACCAGCTTCCAGCTTCGGATTTACAGGTCTAAACCACAGATACAGTACAGGCCATGAAACGAGGGCAAACACAGCCCTGACAGGACAGAAACCAAATGACCACAACCAAACAGATGCAGATGAGCAGCCATGTCCAACCAAAACCACCAAGTCCGTTTCAGGTGCTATTCATAAAACCATTAGCAGACTCACCATGAAACCATTCTTTCCCCCGTCTCGACAATGAAAGAGGCTGTTGCTGGCCTGGAAGAGGAAGAGGCCACTCTCACTGTGGAAATCATACGATGTTATACCAAAGACACCAAGTCGCTTGCGTTCCCTCAAGAGTTCCTCTTCTCTAGAATACATCCCATGATGAGGGGTTGCCTAGTATGGAAGGAAAGGAAAATCTGAAAGAAACTGCAAGGAGGGAAACTTTCGCAGCAGAGGAATGCTCCAAGACTGGCACCAGCTGGTCTGCGAATGCCCACAATACAACACACCAGTTAAAACCAGACTGCAGTCTTACCATACCGGTCCTCAACTACTCTACTCTAGGTCACAGGTGTGGCCCAGGAGGACTAAACAAACCACATGCCCCGAAGTTCCCCGTAAGTAAGAGGGATGAATCTGTCATTTCTGTAGTTGGCACTTCAGCATGAACTGAGGACGGCTGCGCTGGTGCTGCTTATGCAAATCAGATGTAACCAATTAACTTAATGAGGTTATCTACAGCCTTCACAAACAGTTTCCATGTCAGACACTGCAAACAAAAGCTCTTCCGGGGATCTTGAATTACCCTGAAGGGGACTAGCAATCCAAATGGGGTCAAGATAGCAAATTTCTTTTCCATCAGGAACCTTTTTAGTAGGGAAGAAAGACCAACACCCTCCACTCTCTTCTTCATCAATGCTGTTGGTGATGAAGGACATTACGATACCGCAATCAGGGAGGAGAAAATTCACCTCCTTTCTGGCTCACTTGCAATAGAGCATAAGGCAGAAGCAGCAGTTTAAATTCAACTTTCCCGACTTCCTTAAAAGCAGGAAAGATGACAGACAGGCATTCCACCAAGCACATCAACAAGCATGGCAAGAGCCCAGACAAGATACCCAGAAGAAAGGTGTGCAGTCCTGATAGCTTATAACCTGAGGTAGACTATGTGCTATTTACAGAGTCCTCTTTGCTAGGTCAGCCCTTTGCTTGGCACATCAACTGCTGTTTCATGTTCACTGCCAACTTCCTCACAAGCGGTTCCTTGCGTTATGAAGCAAAGCAATTCTCGACATAACATTCCTACCAAGACCATTCTGTGTCTTACATGCTGCCACGCCATTATCTCCTCTGTTCAGCACAGCAGTATCCACCACATCAGCCCCACAACATCAGCCAGTTTTCCCAAGCGCTGTCAAGGCAGGCTCTTCACACTTCAGCTTACCTGGAAGTGATCCAGCATCTGTTTCCATGACAAGAGTAGCAAGGCCTCCTTCCGTACCTTTTTGGGAATCTCTGAGTAAAGAAGGGAATTCTCTCGGCTACCATAAAAAAAAAGGACAAAAGCATCATCCCACTTAAGATTAGTTAGCCAAGACAAAGAGGACCAAGTCAAATTGAAAAAAAGTCTGATAACAGAGGGGTTGGGGCTGTCCAGAGGCTTTTATCAGCTGTCATTCTCAAGCAGCTCTCAGTTCAATCACAGAATAATATCTAAATTATTTAAATTTAGATACTCATTCATTTAGAAATTTCCCATAGCAAGATCTAACGCTAACCAATCTCCTAAGAATTGGTTACATCCATCTCTCCTCTCCACGGACTGTTCGACCCACACCCTAGACCCACTCTAACAAAGCCACTCCCTGACTGGGTGACTCAACATTACTCTCCATGTTTCTCAGCCAGAAGTTTGCTACAGGGACCCCATTCCGGCCAACGCACCAGCCTGCAAGAGGGGAAGAAAAAGCTTCCAATGTCTGGAGAGCCCATTTGAATGGGAAACAGCACACTACACAGTCAGAAGGCCTCGTCCTTTTACATAAGCCTTTGACTGTGGTTATCAAAGAAGCTGTTGGCCTCCATCCAGTTTCCAAAACAACCATGAAAAATAAAATATCCTGACACGCGATTTTGGCAGTTTCAACAAAATCGAAAACCGTGAACTTGCCCTCTACGTTATGCTGTGGAGACTCTCTAGATCAGAATTTCGCAGAGGGAAGCGTGCCCTGATATTGCCTACTCTGCACATGTTCTGGGCAGAACAGAAAGATTTCTGAGCTGGTTAACTCAGCAGAACAGTTACTTAAAATTAAAACTGAAATATTAATAAGTGCTCAGGAAGCAAAGCAATATGTGAACGTATAATCCTCAGAGATACAGAAACACCAAAGTGCTGAGCATGTGGTGTTTAATATAAGCAGCATCTGCCATGGTACAACATAAAATTCTACAGGAATGGCCCAGGAATGATTTAACATGTCTAAAAAGAAAAAAAAATGTAGATAGGAACAAATTACAATATATACACACATTCGACTCTCATGCCAGTCTGACCTGGGCTTCCTTTCTCCTCATTGTATTAGTACTTTCTGCAATGACCTCAGGCTGACTACGATCAATCAGCATTTACAAGAAAAACGTTGCCTTTCTCTCCAAAAGACATTATACTTTGCTCCCAAGTGAAGAAAAGTCTTCAACAAGCAAAGCTCTTCAGAAGTCTTCATCCTACTCCTCAGCATTCGGTATTCCCATAAAAACTTGAAAATGTTATTTAGCATTGGGACAGTAACAGCACGCTGACGTTCAACACACATGCACTGCTGAAATGGGTTCTGAGTACTCGACAGCACGCGGTGTGCAACTCCAAAGATGCTCGTTATGGCAATAAAAAGAATTAGTGTTCACTATTTATTAGGAATGCCTGAGAAGAAGTTCCCCAGTATTACCTGGCAGATACTGGTCTTAAATGATGGTTCAATCTGCTCTAGGTTCTGCACGTTTCCTTAAGGAAGGGAACACTGAAAAGACACTCGTGTATCTTCATTCCTGGTTCTGGCTCCTACACCAGTCCCACCCGTGCAGAACACCAACCAGCCGGTCGCTGGTCTGGTTGCCATTTCATACAATAGAAGAACATGATATTTTTTTAAATTAGCCACTTAGACCCTTAGTTCTTTAGTTATCTCGATCAAAAACTGCATCAAAGTCAACTTGGCCTTGAAATACATTCAGCTTTAAATCAAGTCTCACTGTTGAGACTCAACAAGAAAAATACCCTAACTCTGGATGCTGCCCTTTATAGCAGTGTGCCATAGAATGTCTGAGGAAGTGTAACAACTAAACTCACTGACACGCAGGAGATGCTTAGTCACAACATAAACCAGTCCCTCAAATCCAGCATCCCATGTCCTACAGTGACCTGCACTCAACAACTCAAAAAAAAGCAGGGTCACTTCAGGAAAGCAGTCAGCTGTATGGAGTTGCACACCAGGCAATTTCGTTACTGGCCCAGCAACAATCAGCTCATGCCCCAAAGCACAACAAACTCTTTACAGTCTATAAAGCTTCCCGTGTTACCAACCACAAAATTATCCAGTTACTAAAATCCAACTGCTCTGTCACTAATTACATTGTGGCTCCAACTATAACGAGGGACCTGTACAATGCAGCGTTCTGCTGTCCCTCAATCCCACTGTAAGGAAGAGGCTATTTCCCTGTGAATACCATTAATAGTTCATTCCCACCTAACCTTTTTTTTCACCCCTACTCTTGAAGACATCCTACCTACATGGTACTTCATAAAGCAGGGAGACACACCACCCTCCCATTAATACCTAGAACTTGCCACATATAGTTGGTAATTACTGACAATGAATTTCTTGGAAAGTCAGTCTGGTTGATCAATCAAGTCAATCTCACTTCTCCTAAGCTACAGAGCCACAAGATAGTCCTGAGTTTGAGGAACATCCCTTCTCTTGCCTCGTCACCCGGGCTGACCTGGGTTGCCCAAGAGCACTGCGTCCATACCTCCATCACGAGGCAGGTCTGGCTGCCCAGCGCTTCCCCTCGTCGCTAAGCAGAAGGGCTGTGTGTCTGGCACCGGAGAGGTCTCTGCCCAGTCCCAGGCTTTGCTATAGATGAGGCGTGCAAGCCTTGAGCAACGCTACTTAATCTCAGTTCCCCCATCTCATAAACAGAGATGCCTCCCATCCTCTTCCTCGCCTGTTTAGATTGGAAGCTCTCCCGTGACACATTCACGCCCAGCGTCTGGCATGCTGGCTTACCCAGGTAATAAAGACGATGAGAGTGCGGGCTGGACTCTTCTGTTTTCCGGACAAACTGGAAATCATGGGGAGCTTTGTTCACTATCATGCCCGAATACTTCCTGCTGCTGTGAATAATGTCACGCAGCCCATCCCAAGAATGCTTTTGCACCTGGAATTGGGAAGGCACATCCTCCATCTCGACCACTTCAGAGCTGTCTGATAGCGCGTCCACTGCAGTCATCCTCTCTTCCCCTTCAGAACTGGACAAAAAACTGAGGGAGGAGTTGAGGGAGAGAATTAAGCCTTAAAATCCAGCATGTACATTTTGTTGCTTAGAGCTTCCTCCAAGCATGCAACAAGCTTAAGAGAACAGGCACTCCTTAAACTACAGATCCTAGGATCCTCCACGCTCAACGATTACATTTTAAACGTATGTTGACATATTGAAAGGAAAAGTCCATCTCTCATCCCGTATCAAGTCCTGTAAATGAAGATATTAACCTTGGAAAACTCGGTCTCCCAGGACTAGTTCTAGAAATAAGCTGTTAAAGGAAGTACAAGCAACAAATTCTGGTGCAGAAAACAATCAGCTTGACTCAAAGGAAAACCACCCCAGGAATTTGGATGGATAAGTCATCAAAGCTATGACCTATCATAAAGGCACAAAAACTCCTGCCCTGGAAGACCACAGAAGTGAAGTCCTCTTCCTGTCCTAAAGGGAAGCCTGCTCATCACTTGGAGAGAGGTTTAAGCACAAGCACAGCACCTCACTTACCTGAAGAGCTCCTGCAGCCAGGAATGAAGCAGGAGAGATGGCAAAATAGGAAGAAAACAGTGCAATTGTCTTTGCTAGCAGAAAGAAGACAGCAGCAACAGACCCTGGTCATACTCTGCAAAACGTAGCACGTGTTCCTCATACATTTCCAAGCTAGCAGTTATTGGACAAGAGTCTACAAAAACCACCTCCACATGCAACTACAGCAAATGTTAATTTGAAGAGAGGTGGACTACCAGACTTGCCCAAGGTCAATGATGCAATCTATTGCAAAGCAGGAACTAGGGGAACCAGTTTTTGTCACCCCATTCCAGAAGCTGGATTTCCCTCCACTAGGACATTTTAGTTGTTTTGGGGGTACCCGGAAGAATTTAAAGAATTTCAGAAGAAATTCAGTTTACTGAAAAAGTTAAGCTGGAGAAGTTTGCTCCATGGAGTCAGAATTGCTAACTTCGACATAGCATCAAGAAGTGACTAAGGACTACACCAAAAAAGACCTTGTCCTCAGCAGCTCCAAGATTTACATTTTCAAATGGGACGTTTCTTGAATGCTGCCTGTCATTTGGGATGGTGACCTGCATCCTGACAGGAGAGCAGCTTCTGAGATGAAGGATTAAGCAAGACTTATGCATAAACCGAATCTTAAAGACTTCGGCCTCAGTAAGATGCACAATGAATCCTTTCCCAGTGAAGAGAATCAAGGGAAAGGAGAATCATGGAATCATAGAATGGTTTGTGTTGGAAGGGACCTTCAAGATCATCTAGTTCCAACCTCCCTGCCACGGGCAGGGACACCTTCCACTTTGAGGTTCCTCAAAGTCTCATCCAACCTGGCCTTCAACCCTTTCAGGGAGGGGGCAGCCGCAGCTTCTCTGGGCAACCTGTTCCAGTGCCTCACCACCCTCTGAGTGAAGAATTTCTTCCTTATCTCTAATCTAAATCTCCCCTCTTTCAGTATAAAGCCATTGCCCCGTGTCCTGTCACTACACACCCTTGTTCAAAGCCCCTCTCCAGCTTTCTTGTAGGCCCCCTGTAGAGAAGGATGGTTATTTATATCATCACAAGAAAACGCTTCCCTCTGCCCACTTTCTACCATGAGTATTGTTCAGGAGAATCCCAAGTGTTTCTGGAAGATTCCCCACCAGCTCAGACCTTTTAAACTCTCTACAAGGAACTTCTCACCTAGTTTGACACCTTCTGCAATTACAACAGGAGATGAGCAAACCTAAACCAGAGCACATCAGGACTTCCTTAAACTACAGGCACACAGTACAAGAGCTGTAAATATAACCACATCTTCAAATCGCTAAGTCCTTAAATTGTACAAAATGTGTGCATAACAACACAAGAACAAGCTCCCTGAATAAATTCATAGGTAGCCCCGGTACCTATTGCCCAGCAGTAAATCCACAGATGAGAATGAACAAAGAAGAGTATTTTCCAATCAAAGCCAGGCAGGAAGCCCAAGTGAAACCACAGGAGAGAACGTGACGGGATGTTCCAAGACTGTGAGAGCGCCTGTGGCCTCTACTGCCTATACCCAGGGTCTCCAGTACAACAACTGAAACCACCTCGGCAGGCAGAAGTGTTGCCTACCAGAAACGCGTGACAGGAAGACCACAAAACTCCATAAACTGAGTACAATTCTCCCAAACCAGTCCCACTGCAGGTCAAGTCAGTCGATTAAAACAACCTGGACCCTCGGGTGACTCGCACCCATCTGGTGAAACCGTCTTACTCAGCCAGCTTGACTCCTCATGGGGGAAAGTTGCACCTTTAAGGGCTCAAAACAGTCCATGACTGTAATACCAGCAACTGTCCCAAATTAAACTGGAGGCTGGAGTCCCTTCGAAACTACATTGCCATGATTTTATGGTTCACTAGGGAACTAAAAGGCACAACTTTTAGCTTGGTACCGCTCTCATCCTGGTGATTTTGACACTAGAAAGAGAGAAGGAGTGGGACAAGCAAAGCAGTCATCACGTAAAGCTATGGGAAACCATCAGGAAATACCACTATCACAGCTGGGGTGTGCTGGAGTCTCACAAAACTTAGGTCCTGACTCCATACAGAGCAAAATGAAAGTCCAGTGGCTTCATCCACCTCTACAGCCATTTTTTGGACAAAATGTAACAAGTATTCGGCAACATCACACACATGGTACACACGGAGTAACTTATCTAACTGAAATGGCAGGGTGAATTTTGGGAGAAAATCATCCAAAGTTGGATCATGACACCAATTTTAGCTCTTTTCTTAGATAGTCTTGAAACTTCCACATCAATACAGCACATCTGAGATTCACACCTCACTGGAAAAAGGCTGTCCTTCACGGCCCTCACGCTGAGGCACTGATCTCCATGACTTGGTGTTGTTGCAGATCCATCGCTAACCTCACTCCCAAAACCACCTGGCTGTCTCTTGGAGATCTCCACACTCACTCATCGTGCTTTCTCTGCCCTGCCTGGCCAGGTTAGATGGATCAGGCATACACCGACCGAGCCCTCCTTCCAGGGGAACAAGTTGGTCTGAAGACAACAAGCAAGCACAGGTGGGATGTCAGCACGGGGAAAAAGAATTGTAAAGCTTGGAATTGGTAGTGAAACAAGTTATCTCCCTGAGTCACTTCCTGACCCACAGATCCTCACACAGAGCTCCCCGGGCAGACTGATACACTTGGGATTTTTCAGAAACCTCCTTCACGCCAGGAGATGATTATTGCTCTGTCCCACACGACCTACAGGCCAGTAAAGGCCCTGGGAGTAACCGGGACACGTACCTTCTCCAACTTCCTGCAGTCTCGTTTTCCAGACGAACCCTCTTTATCTTCTGCATTAACTACTCGGCAAGCTGGGCAGGACAGGAAACTAGGAAGGAAGAGGAAAAAAGCAAATTTCATATAACTGCAGTTCCCCTGTCAGAGGAACAGGGCTGTATAAAAGCATCCTCCATAGGTCACATTTCCAACGGAGCACAGAGGCACAAACAAAATCCTTGGTTTGCATTTTACAGCCCAAATCGTTCCGCCAGCACGTGCTGGGTATTAACAACCCAGATAAATCCGAGAGAGACTTCTTCACCTGAACAATGGGACTCACCGAACTCTGTGGCCTCTTTCTTTCCTAAAAATTTCTTCTCAAAATCCGAGAATCCTCATTACTGACCCTTCCTTTCATTCCCCTCTCAGAAACCTGAAATTCTTGGAAGTATCAGGTACTAAGAACTGAGAAAACAGAGGTCTGGGCCATGCACTTACAGGCAAGAGTCAAACAAAGGACACACCATAAGGAGCCAGACAGAGGGTCAGCAGCCCCACTGCCAACAGCGTCACAGTCCCACCTGGGACATAAAAACCACATTTGTCTTCCAAGACTGCTGCCTGATGCCACGGAGGAACCCTGGCTCGCCACACAAGCCCATTTTCCATGAATGTATGAAGGTGCTACCTTCACCATCGTCCTCTCTGCCAAAGCACATCAAAGTAGAATGATCTTTGTCTCCTCTTCAAGAGAACTCTGAATTACAGACACACCCAGGACTTGCCACTATCGTTTGCTGAAGTCCCTGGTCTGCCCAAACAGCCATTTTTCCACCAAAACCACACTCACATAGGATCAGGAGAGACAAAGCGTCACAAAGAAGTGCCAGCAATGAAGTTCCTAAACCGCAGAGGAGGACAGAGAGGGACCAAGTAGCAGCATCCCGTAATTTAAGGGCAATTTTTGCTGCAAGCACAAAGGGCAGCAGGAGCGATGCTCAGGAATGCTGAGTAACCTGGTCTGATCTTACAGCTGACCCTGCTCTGAGCAGGGGGTTGGACCTGAGACTTCCTGAGGTCCCTTCCAATTCCAGTTATTCCACGGTTTGAATGATTCAGAGGAACACCTCGCCCTCATCCCACCCGCCAACGTTTCACAAAGGAAAGGAACAATAGCATCCTTCGATGCTGAGCCCAGAGAAAAAGCGACTGAACAAAACAGACACGAGGGATCAGACACCCGGCATGAATCACGATACCCATGTCAGCGAGACCCCGCGGGGCCCGCTGGTGCCTTCAGGAAGAGCCAAAGCAACGGAGTCACCTAGAGAAGCCCTTACAAACGCGTCCCTGTCATGGCCAGCAGCTTTAAGACCTCCTTCTCCAAAAATAAAAGCAATTGATGGTGGAATAAACCCGCGGGGATCTCTCTACGGGATGAGCTTTGGCGAAGGCTGCCGGCCAGCGGTGTCCATCTCTGCAGCCGTGCCAGCGGGGCTGAACGCCCCGACAGGGAGCTCTGCCCTTGCTGCAGCAGGAAGGCCGGGCTGGGGGCCAGCAGGAGAGGGGGGAGCCCA